AGTTTGCTTAGCAGAGTTGAAAATAGTTTGCTTATTGATCATAGTAAATTTTGAAATTTTCATCTGACCTATACATAAATTGTTCAGGGTCCTAATACAGTTAATTATTTTTGAATATATATATAGTATATATGCTTAAAAAGTTATACATGTATAGTTTTTTCATAATAAATAATTCATACTTGTATGATTTCTAATACTATACATATATAAAAAAAAACCATACTATAGATACATTGCTAACCTACTGTACAGGTTTGCTTTCTGTTTTTCGCAGATTTATAGATTTTTTAACTAACATAGATAATTCTTTAAACTGTAATCATTCAGATGTTGTTTGTAAAGGTACTTCAAAAACTCAAGACAGACGTGATATTATTTGCGACTTCTATGTTTTAATGATCTTGTGGTATAAGAATGAGAAAAAATATTATATAATGATACAATGTGAACTTATTTGTGGCCTATTATATGTTTCATATCTCAATGATAACGAGAAAAACAATTTCAACTACTTTAACAATACGATATTGATCAAAAATCAATCATTATAGTAGGATTTGTTAGAAGAAAGAAAATGTTTGAGATTTAACTTGATTTTGCTCAATTATAACACATAAGAAATCAAGCAAGTAAGATCAGAAGATAAATATATACAAAACTGCCATGGTCATGCTCATATTAACCTTGATGATCTGGGTTAAAAGAATATTAAATATAAGGTTTTTAAGAATTTTACGTCATTAGCCATTCAAATTTTAAAACTATTATATAACGCTCAAAATTCTTCAGAGCAAAACAATTGTCTTAAAACTGTTCTGAATTAGAATGTTTTTGGTTACAAATAGTTGAACCACAGTTGATGGTAGAATATTCAACTGAACTTATAAAAAAGATAAATGATGTTATTACAACTCTTTTCAATATAAATACAAAGTTGAACAGTATTGGCAAATGATCTACCAAAAAGAAATTTTCATGAAATTACTACGAATATAGAATTAGAAAGTAAACGTAACAAACCAAATCAGGAATAAGTTTTGTTTTGTAAAGAGACTAAATTTCCTGAATGCAGTGTTGGCATTGGACCTTGTCCAATTCCCAATAATAAACTATTGGACTTTAGACTTAATGAAGATGTCCAGTCCATGAAGTGACCTTAAAATAACCTAAGCATGTGATGATTTTACTATGAAATCTATCACGTTGAAGTTGAATGTTGCTACAACTCTTTCTGATACAAATAGAAAGATTAATGATGTTGTTGATATAAATAGAAAACTTGCTACAACTTTTTCCGATACAAACAGAAGATTAATGATGTCATTGATACAAATAGAAAACTCGCTACAACTTTTTTCTGATACAAATAGCAAAACTATCTCAACTTATTGATTTGTTGATACTAAAAGAAAAAGCATAAATATTTCTCCGTATTGTTAGTGTATAGCATTTTAGTTGAAATAACAGAGTGCATGTTGTGGTGGTTATTTAATACATTAAGCCGGACAATTAAGAGTTGATTAATTTGCGATTTTTATAGATAATGACAAAAACCTTTTATTTTACTTTGCAACAAATGTAAACTGCGTCTAGATATATCAATAAAATTTTTTACTAGCTCATATGGGTTGATTGCTAGGAAAATCAGGTTCTGGAAATTTTTTAACAAAATTGAGATTTTTATTGCATTTTAGTTTTTGATGTTATTAGATTAAAATGTATTAAGCTCTTAATTTAAGTCAAAAATTTCTCGGAACCTGATTTTCCTAGAAACCCTCCCATATGATTTTAACTATAATATGACGAATATATGTTCACCTCTCTCATGAATTTCTAGTATGTGGACTCTATATAAATCCTCTGGTCTGCTCAACTAATTCAGATTTATTGATAATCTAAAATCGATAAAACACGCTTATATCGCATATAATCGTTACACAGCATTTCGGCCTATATCGATATACATTTAAGTCGTCTGTTAATGTATGCGAAAATTTTACAGCGTGGATTACATATAGAACTTATCCGACAGTCTTTTATAGCCCGCGAAAAACGAAATAGAATCAAGAAAATAAAGAGTTAGTTAAAAGACGCAGTATTAGCTGGACCTTCGGATTTATAACCGGTTTCCATTTTCGATAAATAAATATGGATAAATCTGTTCAACCTCTTTAGTAGGTATCATTGAAATTTGATCAATGTCATTTTAGATTGGTAATCCCAATAGCATAAAAGATGACTTACAAAAGGGAGTTGCAAAAATATGAAATTTTTTATAAACAAGATGTTTGTTTGATTTATTTAGTCATAAATTATTGTATCATCTAAATCCATTCTGTAATCTTCAAGGCTCATGTCGTCGCCTCTTCCATTTACTTCCAATTGTTCTATTTCTTGCATACCATTAACTTGCACAGGATGTCTTTTAGGATCTTCACTCCTACCACCATCCAATTTCCTTATTCCCCCAAGAGCCATCGTGAAAGTAGGCCTTATCTTATGAACCTCACTTGTGGTGAGGTTTTTCATCTAGAGTTAAAATAAATTTAGAAAAAAAAAAAAAAGAATTAATTTTAATAAAATAAATATTATATAACCTACCTTAAGTCCATTAACCTCTAAATCATTTAACTTTTTTTCGATTTTATTTTCTCGTATCTCTTTAAGTTTTTGCAAGAGATACCGTACCCTTGCTGGATTTTCTATATCATCTTCTGCACTAGATTATTTTTTAGAAATAAAAAAAAATAATTTTTCACGATTATTATTTTTTTTTAATTAATGAATGTCAAGTATAACTCACTTTTCCAACAATATTTTTGAGAATTCGATAAAATATTTTGGTAAGTTGCTGAGTGGTTTATGTCCATAATTAATATCTAAGAAATCTTCAAGTTCTAATCGATTTTCAAGGAACTCTATTTTCGAACATGACACAAAATTAGAAAGTATCGGGCACATTTTATCGACCAATCAACCAAATCATAATTCAAATAACTTACCGATAGTCAAACATTCTGGTGGGAAGATTTTACATTGCTTTCGTTCTTTCAGTGCTAAAGCTGCCCAAAGGGGCATTTCGAGTTTTTTTGGTGGTTCGAATGGGCCAAAAGATTTCTTTAAAATTATTATAAATGTGTAGACTTCGATATTCAATCGACAACTTTATTGAATAAATTAATTTTAGAAAAAAAAAAAACGGTTGCATATGAATAGCTTACACCAGACAGAATTAAAGCCTCTTCTTTGAAAAATGGTTCTATTGCAACAAGTTCATCCTCAGCAAAAAATCTAAGGTCATTAGTATTTATCGGCATCTTTGGTATAAGGTATAATAAAATTTTCAAGAAAATTTTTTTTTTGAATTACGCGGTTTTATCACATTGATATTCACGGTGATAATGTGGACAATCATTTGACTGTTCATGAAGATTTCTTTTTCATTTGGTTTTTTTTTTCACGTGTAAATATTATCGATAAGATATTTATCCAAGAAAAAGGGTCAATATTTAATAATTAAAATTTCTTTCAAAAGAAACTTCGAGATATAATCCACCATGTGAGTTTTTGAAATGCATTTATCGGTCCAAATTAGGTTACATTAATGTGTATTAACGATAATTTGTGTAAAAAAAAGTCACAAAATCGATGTTAAAAAAACTATAACGATTTCATCAATTAAATATTGTATCTATTAACAAATTTATTTAGGTAAAGGATATATTATTTAAATTATTTCAATTTATGATTAATTATTAATGATAATATTTTTTTTTTTGAAGGTTATAAATCTAAAATGTCTGGTGTTGTGCCATATGTTGCTGGTTGGGTTGGTTTTGGATTCACAGTTAGGGTAGTTGCTTTAGCCATTCAACAAAGACCCCTTTTACAAAGTACATATGCTTTAAATTTTCTTTGGTTTCAATTTAAAATTTTATTTAAAAAATTTAACATTAAATATTTTTGATTTAGAACCCATGACTCATGCACTTTCGGCTGCATTTTTTGGAGGAGTAGGATCTTATATATATTATCTTGAGCAACGACAATTAGAATTAATTCAAAAACGTAAACATACTTTATTAGAAAATAGAAAAAGGAAGAGAGAATATGAGGAAGCTAAAGCAAAAGAACATGCGATGGCTGCATAATTAAAAAACTAATTAATATTTATAATAATTCTCCATATATTTTGAACAAAGTAATTTAAAAACGTTATTGATAATCCCGTAAAAAGGTAGACAACATCGAATCAATAAAAATTAACAATTTCAAAGAGAATTATAATTTTGAAAGACTTCAAATCTTAATTTGATATTGGTAAATGTATATTTTCATACATATAATAATAATAAAAATCTACTTGATCACTTTTCATCGCTTCCGCCACCATTTATATCCTGATATAATCTTTTCTTGATTACGTTCCATCTGCTGTAACAACCTGATCTATCACGATTGGGAAAATTTTCACGAGCGATTTTAGACCAAGGTACGTCTTGTAGATTTACCAAAACTGCATCAGTCAACCTTTTATCATCTTCTAAAGTCCAAGGATTTCTACCAACAGATTTTTTGGTCTTTGCTGGTTTTTCTGAAGTTGTTAACTTATCATTGGTTTCTTCGATATCGGAAGTTGCAGTTTGAGGAACAGATTTTTTCTTGGATTTTATAGTATTAGATTTTTTTTGAGCAGTAGATGAAGCACGTTTGTTTGATTTATTGTTGGAGGTTGATGACTTTATTCGGTTAAAATCGATAATGAGAAATTTAGCTAAATAAAAGGGAGAAAAATCAAAATTAAAATAAACGTGAAAAAACCTCATTTTCTTCTTGGGTTTCTCCTTTTTTCTTTGTGATTCGTTTTCTTTTTTTATTAGAAGGAGGACTTTCCTAAATTTAAACAAATTAAACAAAAATATCAAAATATAACGCAGAAAAAAATAATCTATATAAAAAAGAACTTACAACTTCTTGATTTCCTACATCATCATAATCTTCACCGTTTTCATCCAATTCTTGATTTGTTTGTTGAGTATTGTTTCGTGATTTGTTTAAGGATTCATATTCGTCATCATCCATATTTTGATCCGTCTGTTGTGTGTTGTTTCGTGACATGACATCTATAATCATGTTTTGCGTATTATTTCGTGAGGAAGTTGGAGTTTTACATTCATCCATTTCTTGATCCATTTTTTTTTTTTTTTTTTTTTTTTTTTTTTTACAAATCCTTATACACACAAAAAAAGGGCGATAATAATCTGAAATGAACCTTTATTAATTATCACTGTAACTTTGTATTTTTTTTTTTGACGAGTTAATTTTATTACAAAAAAGCAATTTGATAAAATTTGTCTCAAACAAGGTTTATTGATCAATGATGATATTATAATATACATATACTTGGCAAAAAAAGAATAGAATTTGTTTTTTTTTTTTTTACGAGCTTTTGAAATTAAAATTTACGTATCATACAAAATTTTTATCGTAAATTTACCTTAACTTACACTTTTAATAGCGATTGATCCAACAATAATATCAAGCATTTCTTTTTGATCGGTAACCTTATTATCAATCTTATAATACTAGATAAAATATTTAAAATAATTTGTTTATTTATTTATTTATTTTTCAAACACGTCTTTATAACGAATAACTTATATTCAGAGATAAAATAAATTACCTTTTTGATACTCGAAATATCTACGGAATTAGAAAATTCTCCAACATCTGCTTCTTCACCATGAATCAATGTCGATAAATGAGACTTCACCTAAATTATAACAATTTATAAATTGAACTGAATGAATTACAATAAAATAAACCTATTGATTAGTTACCTCTTCAGCATTTCCTCCAACCTTAACAACAACGATTGAAGTTGAAGAATTAGAAATACCAAATCTTCGTAGAGATTCATTTATCTAATGTAAAAGTCAAAGGATTATTATAAATGGATTAAATTAAAATTAAATTATAATTGAACTTACATTTGTTGTTGGAGAAAGGTTATAAACAATTTCGGAATGTACGTTATAAGTTTTAAGCAAAGAATGTAATTCATGGTGTACCGCGTCATTTGCAGCTATCAGTAGTTGAAACTGGTCCAACACCTTTTTTCAATTTTCAAGTAAGGCTAATGAAAAAAAATAAAATAACGCCTTTTTTTTTAATTAAAAAAAAAAAGTTTTTACCACTTTAGCATCTATAAAAGCATAAGATAATTCTTGATCATGAGATAGTAAACGTTTTCGTAAATCTTCTGCATTCGTTACATTTTTATAAAATGAAATATGTATATGTCCTCTTGTTGGATAAAGTTCAAGTGAGAACGATTGCATCGTGTATTAATTTCACGAATTTGAAGCAGTTTGTGTTTCGATCCGTTATCAGTAACACAAGGACAAACTTAAACTAGTGTTTGGCCGCCAAAATTGGCCAAATTTTATTTTAAGTTTTGGCCGGCCAAAATATTATTTTTATATATTTAATTTTTTATTTATATAAAAAGCTACAACTTATTAAATTAAAAAATTAATTCTATTAATCTAATTTAAATTATTATTATAAATTTTAATAAAGAATTTTTGCATTTTTGCAAAATAAATTGACCAAAATTTAGCAAAGTTAGCTATTTTAACCATATCCAAAGTGGCTAAAAACTATCATTGACAGCCAAATTAAATTTAGTCATTAATTATCAAAATCGGTCAATAGCCAAAAAAATTTAGACTTGGCTAGGAATTTTTTGAAATTTCAAATGACATCATTTCTGGTCCTCCCCTAATTCGTTGTTTTAATAGATCATGGGTTTATTTAATTTTAATTAGAATAAAACACGTGACGATCAGAATAATTATTTTTCATATAACTAAAAATATCCATATTACACGAGAAAATAATTCATGAGACATATACACTCACCAGGATCAGCTTTAATGATACATCAACAAGTAGGCAACGGCCAGTCATTGATAGCAATACAGAAAAAATCGCTTTATTCTATTCTATAAATAATATTTCAAACTAATTCTAAAAAAGTAATACAAAACATATTTTACTCTAAACGAATTTTTATTATTTCCAATTTTAGTATTTTCGTGAATCTCACAATTCTCTCTATTTGCTCTGTCAAAATATTGTGTATTCTCAACTAAATCAATGGAATCTAATCATAAAAGAATTGTAACGTTCTTTTTGATATTAGAGATGAAAAAATCACTACAGATGTCAAAACCTCACTCCGCCTTTCCCATAATTAATTATAAATGTTCCAAAAGAAAAAAAAGAGTAAAAATAAAATTTATCATATTATTCTACGTCCTTTTATCAACGAATTTATTAATTATCTTTTCGATAATTTCTCGGTGATGATTTGGTCCACTTCAAGACCTGAAAATGTTGATAAGATGGTGAATTTGATATTTGGAGATCAAAAAGAAAAGCTAGTTGCTGTTTGGGCCCGTGATAAATTTGGATTTACAAACGAAGAATATGAAAGGGATACTAAAGCCATAAAAGATTTGGATATTATTTGGAAAGCTTTGAATTCCCAAACCGAAAGCCCAACTAAGTTCATGTTGGATCCTACGAATACAATTTTAATTGATGATTCTAGATACAAGACTCAATTGCAACCTTTCAATGCAATCCATCCTCGTGGATTTGATCGCGAACGAGTACGTGAAGGCGGAGATTCCGAATTAACGATGATTATCAAATATTTGGAGGTGGTAAAACATCAAAGTAACGTTGCTGCATACATGAAAGACAATCCATTTACTGATCGTATACAATAAATATCATAAACAAATCTCATATATAATATTCCATATAATTAAAAAAACTTTTATTTGCCTAATAATCTTATCTAAGTGAAGGTGATCCTTTTATTTCATCAAATACATTGTAACTTCTAAAGCCAATTATAGGATACCTAAAGGGTTTAATTTGTTCCTACCTCTTTTTTTATCTATTTTAATTTTTCATGCTCTATTAAATAAAGATATTTTGCATATTCAGTACAAGCACAATATCCCAAATGCTTCTATAAGAATTATATTTGCATGTTTGAATGAGAGAACAAGGGTTAAGATTCCTTTTTTTTTTTTTGAATTTTTCATCCCCAAAAAAAGTTCTTTTTACACATTACATTTTAAAGGATAAAAATCATCATCTTCTTCTTCATCCTTCTCATTATTTTTGCGTTGAAAAAAGAATTGGCAATATTTCAAAAAAAAATGAAATTACATACTAAGTTATCTACCATTAGACTAGTTTCAAGATAGAAAAATTTTTTACTGTATAATAATAGTCGTTATCTTTTTATAAAAATTGACTAAAAACGTTGGTTTCATATTTTCATCAAGAAAATATTGATTTTATAAAGAAATAAATAAATACAAATCAATTTATACAATGAAATTAATTGTTTTAAAATAAAATTTTATATTCAACTCCCTCCATTATTGTAAATATATGAATTAACTAATTTATTTCATACATTCTTCCCAAGTAACAGCTTGATCAGGCAGATTTGGAAATTCATAATTACTACTCACATTTGATTCTTCCTCAGTTATCTCATCATCGAATGTTTCAAAATCTTTAACATATCTTAATAAACTTGATTTTCTTGCCAAGTCTTTATAATGTGTGGACCGCTTTGCATTTGTTGAAGAAATATTGTTGTAAGCTGTAGAAGACATATTTTCATTTAAATTAATTTCAACTAAATGAGAATCCGGATGGGAGAAAGATTTTCGTATAACGGTTGGAGAGGGAAGTTTTATTTCTTCAGCATCATTATCAAAAGATGTTGGAGACCATGGTGGTAAACTATGATCTGTCATGGAATATTGTCGCTGAATTAATTTATTATGAATACTTCCATCTACCGAATAAGTTCTTTGATAAGGAGGTTCACTATATTTTTTTGAAAACACTGTTTTTCTCAATAAAAATGCTAAAGCAAATAATGCCAATAGAATAGCTATTACCAGTCCGATTATAGCGGGTATACGATAAGGTGATCGCGGGTCAAATGGACTTATTGGAGCTGCTATATCCGTTGTCGGTGATATCGGTTGGGTAGTCGAACTTGGATTTGATAACGGATCATTTACTTTTGTTGGATCAAAAGCGGTTGAAGCATTTTGTTCTACATCTGATACACTATTATCTATATTTGAATTGTCATTTTTATTGATTGTATTTGCATTTTGTTCCCTTTGAGATGAAATCTCATCTGGAGGAGAGTTAAATGTTGGTGTTAAAGAGGGTTCTTTTGGATTTTTTGGTGCATTATCGGATGGTGGGTTATCGGGAATGTTTATATTTAGAACTTTTGATTCGTTTTTTTGTGGATTCGCCTTATCATCATTTGGGAAAGGTTCTTTTCCGTTTTTACCAGGAATTTCCTTAGGATTATTTTCCTTTGGTGTTTTAGTGGGAGGATTTGATTCCGGATCCTTTTCTTTAGGAGGATTATTTTCTTTAGCTGGAGGTTCTTTAGGAGGATTAACTTCTTTAGCTGGAGGTTCTTTAGGAGGTTGATCCTCTTTAGGTGAAGGTTCTTTAGGAGGTTGATCCTCTTTAGGTGAAGGTTCTTTAGGAGGTTGATCCTCTTTAGGTGGAGCTTTAGGATCCTCTTTAGGTGAAGGTTCTTTAGGAGGTTTATCCTCTTTAGGTGGAGGTTCTTTAGGATCCTCTTTAGGTGAAGGTTCTTTAGGAGGTTTATCCTCTTTAGGTGGAGGTTCTTTAGGATCCTCCTTAGGTGAAGGTTCTTTAGGAGGTTGATCCTCTTTAGGCGAAGGCTCTTTAGGAGGTTGATCCTCTTTAGGTGGAGGTTTTTCAGGAGGTTTGTCCTTAGGTGATGGGTCTTTAAGAACATCATCTTTAGGTAATTTTGGCTTTGGAATGTTCACATCAACGATAGATTCAACAACTTTTTTCTCCCCTTTTAGTACATCATCAACTTTATTTTTCTCCTCTTTTAGTACATCATTAACTTTATTTTTCTCCTTTTTTAGTACATCATTAACTTTATTTTTCTCCTCTTTTAGTACATCAACTTTAGGTGATTTCGGTGGCTTTGGAATTTCCACATCAACGTTAACTTTTTTCTCCTTAGGTAATGGTTCTTTAAGTACATCATTTGTTGACTTTGGATCTTTCACATCAACGATAGGTTTAACAACTGTTTTCTCCTCTTTTAGTACATCATCATCTTTAGAAACTTTCACATCAACGATAGGTTTAACAACTTTTTCCTCCTCTTTTAGTACATCATCATCTTTAGGAACTTTCACATCAACGATAGGTTTAACATCTTTTTCCTCCTTAGGTAATGGGTCTTTAAGTACATCAGGTAATTTTGTTGACTTTTGAACTTTCACATCGTCTGAATCAATAGGTAGTTTATCCTTCGATAAAATGTCTCGTTTACGATGGTAGGCTCTTTTAGCAATTCCAGGTGAATAAAAATGATGATTGCGTGGAATGTTTGATCTGAATCCAGAATGCATGGTTTAAATTATGTGTTAAAAACCAATAAATAGTAGTGATTAGTATTAGAATTTTCGAATCATCGATAATTTTTAATGTTAAGACGAAAGAGAGGTATGATTTTTTCAAAGACGACCTATGACCTGATCGTTAAAAAGGAACAAAATGAAAGGATAAAAATGGATATTTAAAGTGGAAAAAAAAAAAAAAAATTGAATGAATGAAAATGGGAATGGTGAAAGTGATATTAAATTAAATTAAAATTATAAATTATATATAAGGATAAACATATCAGCTTGCATATATATGTTGAACGTCCACGCGGTATAGGTCAACGAAATTGGAAACGGTTGTGCAAACTTGCACCTTGTTCGTCCAATAAACCGTTCTTTGGTCAAAACTGATGACCCATGTGATGCGCTTCCCTGCAGGTTTGTTTTTACCAGTGAAGATTTTAGAAAATTAATTATATACCCATTTTTATTTTTATTTTTATTTTTAATTTATATAATTTATATAATATTTTAAATTCCAATTTCAAATCGAATTTCGAATCGGAAATGACGGAAAATCTTATCGGATAAAAATAACGTTTTTGTTTATATTATAATGTATTACCAATCGTTCCCTTTGTTGAAAATGATTTCAAATGTTTCGAATAATTTGAACTTGTAAATGATTTTTACTTTTTTTGTCTAACTTCTAAAAGATCAACCAAAATTTCCCAGCTAAACCTAAATAACTTTTGATTTTAATTCAGAAAATTAATTCTTATTTGTTAGGTTGAAATTATATTTTTTGTCGATCATAAGGTTCCTGTTTCAAAATTAGTTGATCGTGCTGCGTCACGAATGTTTGAGCTCTTTATTTATTTTGTCAACAGATGATAAAAAAGAATCTTACTACATTAATAATATATAATATATATAAATAAATAAATAACGGTATAAATGGTTATTGGGAAACAAATTTAATTTCTTCATATTCACCAAAGGATCTCACTAAATTCACTGTTTCATTACTTTTCCTTATTCTTCTAACCCACGCGCAGTAAAAAATCAAAAATATCCTCGAAATTTTAATATATAAGATATAACGATAAACAATATACCGATCAACATATAATTATATGAACTATTGACTTTAATATAATTTTTCCTTACATCATTTTTTACAAAAATTTCTTTCGGTCTTTTATCCTCATCCTCGTTAATTTTATTTGAAAAATATTTTCGTCTTTCGGTTTTAGGAGTTTTCATTTCCGCTTCAATTATATCACCGGCATCCATATCTTTTATTGTTGCGGGATTCAAGTGATTATGTAGTATTATTTTATTATTATTTTTATAAAAAATTATTAAATTATTTTTAATGTTTTTGAACGTTTTTGATTTTTTTGATTTTTTTTTTTTTTTTTAAAAAAAAAAAAAATGCTCAATACGTTTATATAAGTAATCCCCCTTTCATAAAAAAAATTATGTTAAAATAAGTTGACTATTTTGATCACATCATTTAGAATGAAAACTAAATACATTTTAGATCATGATTGCGTAATAATGACATCGAAATCATAAATTAAATGGCGAAGTAACGCAGTTAATTTCTATAAATGGAATCAATCTGTTTCTTATTAAGGTATTCCAAAATAAGAAAGTGACTACTAGAATAAGCCAATTTTAAAAGGAAAATGTATATATAGATCAATTTTTGGCAGATTTATTCGATTTATTCGATTCATTGGATTTACGGGATTCACGGGATTCAACATCATCCTCTCTAAAGGATTCCAATCGAATTTGCGGTGATGGCTCCAAAGGCGATCCCCTGTCTCTTTTAGAAGATCCTCGACCATGTTCTTGATTATACGACGAATTTTGCGTTGAATCATTGGTTGATCCCGTATTTCTTCTAAAGAAATAACTTCTATTTTGTTCTTGTGTGGACGTGCTGTGCGCAGATGGTATGACGTGTATATCTTCACCATCATAATTCTCAATAATATAAGAATCGCCTTCATCCCATATTGCATACCTTGAACTGAATGTTCCTGATTTGCCCTGATCATTAGCATGCTTTCGTTTAAATTTTTCCCGTATATTTTGCGGTATGTCAAGATTATGATGCCAGTCTTCTCCCTCCTCTTCTCTTTGTTTTTCATTGCGAATGTCTTCATGTCTTGTTGATGAAATCATATCAGATTCACCTCTATGTGCTTCAGCTTGTGAATCAATTTCAATTGTTGTTGTTGGTGAATCATTTTCAGATGCTTCTTCAGGTGATTGTATTTTTTCTTTATCTGCCTTTGGGCGAAAAATAAGTTCTGTTCCAATTCGTATTACTGGTAATCGTGATACTTGATTATTTAACGTTCCTGTTGTCAATGTTCGAGTGTTTATTCTAAGAAAAACAAAAAGGTTAGGTATTTTGATAGGATTCAAAATCAATATATAAATATTTAAAACAAAACATTACCTCTTTGATATCTTGACCAAAGCTAAAAAGAAATATGTGTGTATTAATATATATTTTAATTTGAATTCTTCCAAATACAATCCATATGTACATTATTGCTTGTTACTTACGAATCGTAATACCGTGGACTAATATTGAGCTTATCACCGTAAAATAAACGACTAAAATAGATATGTGTTTATTAACATTCAAAAAAATACCCAAAACACAATTATAATGATAATTAAATACCGGGTTCAACAGTGACGTATAAAATATTTGTTTTATCCGATTCATAATGTTGCTTAATAACGGTGAGATAATATATAGCGCCTATGCCTATAGGGCCGAACCACCCCGTGAACGCGGCTAATTTTATTTTATTAAAAAAAAAAATTTAATTAGTTATAATTAAATCCAAATCTCCAAATCCGTTTTTCTATTTCGAATTTAAAGTCAATGGAAAAAAAAAAAAAATCTTAAAGCTACACGTGGACGCATAATTTGAACGGTATAGATCACGATTAGCACAAAATTATTAGCATTTAACGCGTAAAAAGCTTACCTTCACGATACGTTTTTATCGCAGGCATAAATCTCATTAATGCCATGATAATCGGAAGACGACGAAATATTAAAATCAATATGGCACAAAGGGTTAATCTCCAAACTGTAATCCCAGTATCAACATTATTGAATTCCGACCAGGGAATAGTAGCACCAACGTACATCTTATTACAAGAATAGATTAAAAATTATAAATATGTTTTCACATCATTAAAAAAATGCAAAGTTAAAAAAAAAAATATATATATATATATATACAAAAACTGCAAGATTGAGTAGCATATCGATAACTTCCTGCAAATGAGCCTCTTCAGTCTCTTTACGAAACCAATCACTTTTTTTTTCAAAAAATTATTAGGAAATGTCATTAAGGGGAATACTTATAAATAATAAAATGCAATTTTACTCACTCCCATGTAAATGCCGTTCCAGCTGTAAAGCAAGCAAGTAAATCATTACTGCCAATCATTGATACAGTTCCCATCAAAAATAACTGTTAAAAATGAAAAAGTATAATTATAAGTGAATTATTTTGATATATACGTATATGTATAAGCATGTTAATATCACTTACAGCCAATGCAATGGCAAACACGAGAAAAGATTCTTTGTCAATCAGCCGGCTATTATGAATCAATCAAGAATGTTAATAATTATATGTTTGTAAAAATTAAATAAACATAATAAAGATCTAAATACAGACTGGCTTTCAGCAAGATATAATAGTTTTCTTGCGACATAACCGGCAATTATTCCTATAACACAACTTAATAAAACTTGATATAACCAAGAGTATAAGAACCATAGTCCAAAAGCTTTGACAACAGAAGATTCTTCCATAAGATAAATCGTTAGGTACAAAAATGGATATGCAAGACCATCATTTGAAGCACTATAATAAATTTAAAAGGTTTGAATATTTTTAAGATTTATTAAATTTAAACGATGAAATGTACCTACCTTTCGGCGGACAATAAATTGCGCACATGAGGAGGTACGTGCTTTTCTGCGAAGCGACCTTTGACTACCGAGTTGGCCAAAATAGGATCAGTTGGTGTTATACATGCTGCTATCGCTAAAGCCTCAAGCTTACAAAAAAAAACAAAACCTTTGTGTTAGCTTAATAAACATGCTTCAAGCCTTTGTTAGCCATATTTGAATTGATTAAAATAACTTACCAAATTTATATTTGGAATCAACCACCGGATTAATAAACCACTGACAGCCCACATGTATGTCATAACTGGGAGATATAAAATAAGTAATGTTTTCCACTCTTTGACAGGGTATGCCCTATAAATTTAAATTTAAATCAGAATAATTGACCATCTTTTTTAAGATTGAAGAAGATAACTTACTTTGGTAATGCAACCCCAGAAAACATTACCTATAAAAAGATTTCAAATTAGATCACAAATTTAGAAAGAAGTTAGCTGTAATGATAGAATTGAGATCAATCAGACCATACTTGAACAGCAATAACAATACGTAGAAAATCATGAGTAATATCATCTTTAGGACCCCAATTCATTGGGTTAAGCAATTTTAAAACGTTAGGACCGAGTATTATTCCCATTGTCACGGAAACAACTAATAAATCAAATATAACTATCAAGCTTTTGACGTCACACCAAAATAGACAAGATCGACCATTGATTACACTTACGAGCTTCCGATAAATACAAACGTTCTTTAATAAAAAATGACACAAGACCGTACAAAATGATAAAACCTCCAAGAATAGAAGCAACAAGAGATACTTCATCAACTTCAATTAATTGCGCCATTTATTTATAATTTAAAATTAAAGTTTTATTTTAAATTCGAAAAATGTCGTGTTTCAAGAACAAACGTTTAGAATTGTAAGAAGATATCTCTAAGAAAAAAGTCAGAGAAAAATCCAAACTATTGTCACTTGAATACATGAATACATTCAAAGTTTACAGTATTATTCTTTCAGTAAAGAAAAAAAAATTTTTTTTTTATAAACAATTACAGAAAAAAAAATTTGATTTTATATACAAATTTCTTAGTTTTTATAGTTTTTAATATAATGATTGGCGTTTTTTACAGAACCTAGTTTGGAAATTCCAAAATTAATGAATTGAATCTTAGATTTTTTATTTTTTTGCAATTATGCAATTATGGAAAATAATTATGATTATCATCAGTAAACAAGATCCGTTGTGTAAACCCAAAAAAAATAATCGAACACAATTTGCTGAAATAATAGAGGAAAGAATTTTCAGCCATATTTCTTTTACTGAACGATAAAAAAAAGTTATTATTTTACTCATGGTCATGTGGGGGTATTAATCATATGCAATTCCATATGAAGCATATGGCTGGGGAATTATTTAGAAGTCGATCTATTTTTGACATTTCAATTTCGTATAAGATATCTTCAATATAATATCTTCAATAAAATAATAATACTTATGATACTATACTAAATATAGTAACATACATGACTTCGTCACTCCAGTGTCAAAATTATGTCATTTGCTTATCTCAAAGGGTCAAATTTCACATGTAACAATATATTAGTCGCTATAAAAGTTAAAATGAAGAATACTAAAGTTTTAATTGACACATGTGATCATATTACAACATTAAATACAAATACAACGATTCTTTTTTTTAATTATAAGAATAACTCATCTAAGAATATTTTAGAATATAAAACTTCTTTTCAAAATTATTTTCTTATTGTGATGTTTTTACAAAATTTTTGAGTATCAGAAAAATATTTAAACTAATTATTAGAATTATTAACTTCGAATATACAAAACTTAAGTAATAACTTTTCTTTCTCTTTCTAAATAACAATATCTTTTTTTGAATATGATCTCTAATATCAAAAACTATATAGTAATTTATCTTCTGCAACTATATGATTTAAGTTTCATTCTTTATCAAAAATCAACTATAATGAATTAATAAACATTTTAATATGAAAAGTATAAATTTGAAAAATCTCTAATGGTAATTATAATTATTTTATTTGGTAATTAATACAATTTTTATTTTAATGTTTTTTTTTATATTATTAGCTGATATAAAAAAATATATATATAATTATTGTATTTAAATTTCTCAAATTTAATTGAAATAATTTAAAATTGAATAATTGAATTTAAATTAATTTGATATTATTTTATAGTTATATTGTATATTTTCTAATCAATCCAAATTAATATTGATTGATTCTATTTAAATAAAACAATTTAGTATTAATTTAGAACTTAAATTAATCATAAATCAATTTAAAATTAATCTTAATTTAACATTAATTCAAATACAAATTCAACTGTAAATCAGCATAATATTATATCAATTCAGTCAAATAAACATTATAAAATCAATATATTTTTATTTAATTAAATTATTAAATACAGTATTAAAAAAAAATTTATTGTTTAATTTACACAATGTCATTATGGGGGTTTGAGAACAGAATGTTCGTACCCCTATGACATTGTATGTCTGTGGGAGATGTAAATTCGATATCGGTTTTTCAGTTATATTTATTAAGTCTAATGAAAAAATAAGTCTAACAAAAAATAAGTCTAACGAGAATTTTGTCCTAACTTTTCCTTAGTTAAGAACGGGTTGTGTGTCTATGGGAGATGTAAATTCGATATCAGTTTTTCATTTTATTTATTAAATCTAACGAAAAAATAAGTTTAACGAGAATTTTGTCTCAACTTTTCCTTACGATTTATGATATTATATGTCTGTGAGAGATGTAAAATTTATATAGGTTTTTCAGTTATATTTATTAAGTCTAACGAAATTTTTTGTTCTAACTTTTCCTCGATTTTTCTATATATAAGAATACATTGTGTGCCTATGGAAGATGTAAATTCGATATCGGTTTTTCAGTTATATTTATTAAGTCTAACGAAAAATTAAGTCTAACAAGATTTTTGTTTCAACTTTTCCTTAATCAAGAATGGGTTCAATGCAGGCTAGCTTACTAAAAATCATATTGTATATAAAGTCTAACGAAATGTCATCCCTGCAAAATCCGTGGAATTGTTCTAACTTTTCTCAAAAACTGGTTCACTCATCAAATAGTATAAAACTTTAACGAAAAAATATAAAAAATAAGTCTAACGAAAATTTAGCAAATGCCCATTAGACATTACGCCTAAAATTTAAGTTAGTCGAAATAATCTTCATTTATTCTGGTTGGCAACTAACGCAATAATCTCCTTCTCCTATTTTTATCGGAATGAGGCATTCCCTGCAAAGAGAAATATTAAGATTTGTAAGCGTATTTTTATAGGTAACCATTATTTCCTCATAACTTCTTTCTCGTATCTCTGATCGAAGTTTATCATAGAATTGGCTAGCATAGGATTAGCCAACATAAGTTCTTTCTCGTCGAAGTCTATCATAGTGTCGGGTAACATAATAACTTCTAACATGTAGTGGACATCGTCCACAAGCAGAGGCTGTAGGCTTTTTGCAATCAGAACAAGGTATACGTTTTTTAGCCTTCCAATGGAATCGACATTCTTCGGGCCTAATACTAGCATTCCCACAAGCCTTTCCAGTATCGCGAAAAAATAGGCAAGAATATTCACCAATCATCTACTTTTTTATTACTAGATTCGAAAAGATTAATTAATAATTAGTTAATGCTTTAGTTTTGCAATAGCTAGAATTGCTTGGAAAGCTTGTAAATACTTATCTTCAGTAGGGTTTCTATGATCGAAAAGTGATAGGTACATAGGAAATAAATAATTAAAGAAAAAATTATATAAGCAAATAATAGCGTGACAGTTAGAACTAACTAATATACCAAATGTCTGATGCTTACTTAGAATATATAGAAGAATTTAGTATAGAGATATCTGATTTTAATCTGATTAATCCAATTGCCCATATACCTTTACCTGAAACTATACCAAAACATAATAACGGAATTATTAATATTCAAAATAATGACAACTGATGTTTCGGATGGTATGTCCTAAGAGCTTTGTATTTAGTTAAAGTTCATTCAGAAAGAAATCTGCATCAGCTATATGGAGGTTTCATGAAGAAACTCAACATGGAAAACATCCCAGTACCAGTACCTGTTTCGACACCAGTATATTGCAAATTTAAGGAAAATAATTCCGATATCAGCCTATGTGTCTATAAGTGACATAACCAGAATAAATGTCTAGACTTTCGTTAAGTTTCAGAGAGAAGGGGGGGATGAATATAGACCTGTAAATCTTTTAGTAATCACGGAAGAGGATAGAAGCTACTACTGTATTATTAAAGACCTCCACAAGTTAGTGTACAATCATAGCAAGCATAAAGGACGAAAATACATCTGCCGATATTGTCTTCATGTATACTCTTCAGAGATAAGATATAATGAACATTTGCCAAAATATAAGGGTCTAAATAATGCCTCCCAACGACCACAAATGCCAGTGAAGAATAGGAGTGTTAAAGCTTTCTATAATCATAAATGCATGCAACTAAATCCATATCGTATTTTCTGAGATCTAGAAATGTTAACCAAAAAGTTAACCCCAGAAGAAAAGACAAAGTTAGCCTATACTGAAAGATTACAGATGCACAAGCTGTGTGACTGTTGTTATGTAGTTATTCATATGGATAGTTCACTTAATTATAAGATTATGAGTCATGATTTATATAGAGGTCCAGATATGCTTGAAAGATTTGTTATAAAAATCGAGAAGGAGCTGAAAAACATACAAAAAGACTTATCTGCACCTGCAGAAATGATAATAGTACCAGGAGATCTTAAGGCATACAAAGAAGCAACAGAATGCTGGATATGTAAAAAGCCTTTTCTTAAGCCATCACTGGAAGTATTACAGAAATTTGAAGAAGTAAAGCACCATTTACTAGAAATAAATGAATGGAAGTGCATATGGAAAAAGAACATCCTAAAAAGAAAGAAGTGCAAAAAAGATACCGAGAAGTCTTAAGTGTTCTTAACTGTAAAGTAAAAGACCATGACCATATAAATGGCAAGTTCTGAGGTCCAGCTCATGATGCCTGCAATAAAAAGTTGTGGATAGGATCTTTTGAGACAAAAGTGCCTCTTATCTGTCATAATTTCCATAGGTATGATTCCCATTCACTTATGAAAGTTGTGAGCAAGTTCACAACTGATAAGTTAAATTGCATTCCAGAAAATATTAGAAAGTATAAGGCCATGGATGTTGGACAGCTCTGATTTCTTGATAGCTTTCAATATATAGGAATGGGATTAGATAAATTAGTAGAATGTTTAGGAGAAAAGCTCGAAAAATTCCCTCTAACTGTTAGATACTTTACTGAAAAAGGCTATTCAATAGATAAGATTAAGCTTCTTTTTTGAAAAGACGTTTTCCCATATGACTGGACAAATGCATGGGAAAAATTCGACAGAACAAGCCTTCCGTCTAGAAAGGACTTCTATTCACTTCTTAGTTAGCAAAATATTAGTAAAGAGAATTACGAACATACTCAAAAGGTATGGCAAATATTCGAAATAAAGAACTTTGGAGAATATCATGATCTTTATCTTGAGACAGATGTACTTTTACTTGCAGATGTTTTCATGAA